TGAAGCAATGTACGCACATTGTTTCAGATCGGTCAACAGGCAGCACTTGCCCGAACATTGGAGACCCTCTCGATCGATATCTGCTGCTTATCAGAGACTCGCCTGCAAGACTCGAGCACTGTGCTCACTCTGCGATCCCCTTCAGGTGACGCAAGCAGTATTTTCTCATTGCGCCTATCCGGTGACGATGCAGCTTCGAGCACCGGCCAAGCTGGTGTTGGCATTGCCCTGAGTCCCCGGGCTGAAGCTGCTCTGGTTGATTGGATTCCAATCAGTAGCCGGATGTGTGCGGTCCGATTGGCTGGCTCGTTTAAAGCTTCGAAGTCGCGCGGGACTAATAGATGTCTATTCATCATCGCTGCCTACGCGCCCACAAACTGTAGCGATGATTCGGTAAAGAACGACTTCTACCGCCAACTGACCCAGCTCCTTCGCCACAGAAGAAGCACGGACACTGTTGTGCTGGCGGGGGATATGAACGCACAAGTTGGAAAGTTGTCCACTGATGAACTGCATCTGGGCGGTCAACACGGTGTAGGCTCCCGTAATGATAACGGTGAGCGGTTACTTCATTTGTGTGAAGATGCTCGCTTATTTCTTGCGAGCACTAATTTCCGACACAGCACCCGCCGAAGGGTGACTTGGCGCCCACCAGCCTCGAACCAGCCTTGGACGCAGATCGATCACATTGCGATAAGTTACCGCTGGAGAGGCTGCATCCAGAATTGTCGCTCGATTTGGAGCACATGTGTGGACACCGATCATGCACTTGTATGTGCTGACATGCGGATGCGTTTTGGCGGACGCCCACGACGACGCTGTGAGCGCATTGACACCAGCCAACTGACAAAACCAGCTGTTCTGAATGCGTATCGAAGTACGCTAACATGCGAGTTGAGCAAGCGCTCACAGGAGACAATTGATGGTCACTGGTCACATGTTCGCCAGACCTTACTAGCAGCAGGCAAATCCTCATGTGGTATGTCTAATAGCCAACATGGACATTGGGTCTCTTCGCAGTCTCTGGAACTTATAGATGCTCGCCGGCATATCCCGGCTGGAAGCGAGCACAATGAAACTCGCAAAGAGCTCCGGGCAAAACTCCGTGCTAGCCTGAAGAGAGACCGCGAATCTTGGTGGTCTCATCGTGCGTCAGAGATGGAAGTGGCCGCTGCCCTTGGCAACCATCGTAAGTTATTCCGTCTGATACGGGAAACGGGCAGCAGGAGACCTGGTGTTAGTGAAACTATACGTGACGAGAGTGGACAGCCTATCCACAATTTGTCAAAACGTCTGGAGCGTTGGGCTGAGCATTTTGAAAAGCAATTTAATCGGCAAGAATTGTTCGATTCGCCGGTCACTGATCGCCCCGCTCCGTGGGCTGTCCCTTTGGATCCACCCTCTCGCTCAGAAGTCGAACGTGAGATCGGACTGTTGAAGTTGAACAAAGCCGCGGGACCAGATGATCTTCCTCCAGCCCTCTTCAAATTCGGAGGCTCTGCTCTTGTTGATGCTTTGCATGAATTACTAGTGAAACTGTGGGAGCAGGAAACTGTCCCAACCGACTGGAGCCGCTCCGTTATTGTTCCCATCTTCAAAGGCGGCTCGCGCTCGGAATGCGGCAACCATAGAGGAATCAGTCTGATCTCCATCGCCTCCAAATTACTCGCGTCCATAATTCTCCACAGACTGACTGGCGCTCGTGAAAGCCAGATTCGTGAGGAGCAAGCCGGGTTTCGTCGGGGTCGTGGCTGCATCGACCACATCTTCACCTTGCGTCAGTTGTTGGAGCACCGTCACACATATTGGCGGCCCACCGTAGTCGTGTTCCTCGACATCAAAGGTGCCTTCGATTCGGTTGATCGATGTGCCCTTTGGAATTGTCTACTCAGGAAAGGTGTGCCCGAGAAATATGTAAATATTATCCAAGCATTATATGCGCGTAGCACGGGCAAAGTGAGGGCTTACGGCAAGCTGTCGCCACCCTTTAATATGTCCAGTAGTGGGAGACAAGGATGCCCGCTGTCACCTTTCCTCTTCAACTTCGCTATTGACGAAGTCATGGAGTTTGCATTTACAGGACATGACTTGGAAGGTGTGGAGCTACTCCCAGGAGAACGACTTCTTGACTTGGAGTATGCAGACGATATTGCCCTCATCTGTGACAGCTCCCAGACGTGTTAAGCCGCGCTGGACAGATTAGCACTGGCTGTCAGTCGCTTCGGGCTTTGCTTTGCACCAGCGAAGTGCAAAGCGTTCCTCTAAGATTGGCAGGGATCGCCTCCTGCGCTGACCCGTGGGGGGAATCAGCTAGAAGTCGTTCAGAAATCCGATTACCTGGGAAGTTGTATCAGCGCCCTTGGGATCGAAGACGAGATCACGAACCGGATAGCGAAAGCTCGAAGTGCTTTTGCTAACCTTCGCCACCTATGGCGGCGGCGCGACATCACTCTCTCCCTGAAGGGTAGAGTGTACAATGCAGCACTACGTTTGACCTTACTGTACGGTTGCGAAACCTGGCCGCTAAGATCGGCGGACATGAAGAAGCTAGTTACGTTCGACCATCGGTGCCTTCGCAGTTTGGCTCACATCTGGTTGGAACACTGCTTGAGTGACGAGCGTGTTGGACGCATTGTTTACGGTCCAGAAAAAGGATCTGAACCGCTCAGCACCGTTATTTTCCGCACCAGGCTCCGATGGCTCGGCCACGTGTTACACATGCCAGCCCACCGACTCCCTCGACGTGCGTTGTTTGCTCACCGGGGATGTGGGTGGAAGAAGAGGAGAGGTGGCCAAGCGATGACTTGGTCGAGAGGAATGAAGTCCCACACTTCTGAGCTAGCCTTGATTGGAGCGTGCCGGCTTCCTGGTTGGGGTCCAAAATCGGTGAACACGTTTGGCTAGATACACTTGCTGACATGGTTAGGAGCCGACCTCAGTGGCGTTTGTGCTGTGAGTTTCTTTGTCCCTCCCCATCTCTTTTGGCCTCACCCTCCATCTACGATCTTATTTCGTAGGTTAAAACATAATTTTTTTCTTGTTGCCCAGTAGCCGGCTGGTAGCTTACCGGAACGATGCCTATCCGTTGCTGGTAGCTCAGCTGGCATGCAACTGTTGTATCTTTTTTTCCTTTGTGTATTGTATTATGTGTGTATTTCCTTTATATATTGCTTCACAATAGCGGAGGTGTTTCACCACCTCTTGCTGACATGTATGATGATGATGATGATGTTGAATTAAGATGACTCAATCACGTCTTGCTTATGCCATCTTTGCGTTTGCCGCATCACACTGTTGGCTTGTGCAGGACTAGTCTGGAAGAGACCCCACCGTTATCAGCCGTCCACCTGGCGACGGCATATGAAATCGTTGGTTTCACGCCTAGTCGGCATTGGATCCACACGTTTGCATCGCTGTGACCAAAGGACTAGGAGTACCGATGGTTTCAGTCGTTTTAGAAAATGGCGCACAAAAGGAGGAATTAAAACATCTGCTTACTTAATTTCTTGAACTCAAGTGTTTGTTTCTCAACGGTTAAAATTACGCCAAAAAAACGTGAAAGTGTCCTGTTTCCTATTTATAGCAGTTATCCCTGTCATTCCATTGACCTTCATGGTTCGGGTGGCTCTGTGGTCGCCGGTTATACTGTCGCCACTTTGATATATATATATATATATATATATATATATATATATATATATATCATGCTGAGGCAGATGTTGCATTCATGATGCTTCTTCACCGCAGTTGGGCTCAACCAACATGCACTTAAACCAGGTCTTCTTAATGTGGATAAAATTCATTTCACTTTATTTGGTTTGTTCTGCATACTTGATAGTCTTCTCCTAACTTTCACACGTCCCTCATTCAAATTGTGGTAAACTTGCGTGATTTTATGGCGTGGTATTTTTTGAATAACTTTCGGACATTTTGTACTTTTTGCGGATTCAGTCAACCACTTTCTTCCATATGCTCATTTAGCGAGTATTTATGTCGTCATGCTTTTACTTTGTTCGATATCGGCATTTCCAATGATTAGCTGTTGCTAGAACAAAAGACCATCTGGTGAGCAATTGCTTTCAATGATTCATCATCAGACCATTACAATCATATAGAGGCTAGAATGAGAAATCGATCCAGTTGGTTCAAAATGACTTGATCACGTGAAGGTCTATGTTAGAGTAGAGCAAACGAATTAGGTCTTAGAGGGCTAGCTGTTTGCTACCGCGTCTGACGTCCCAGGTGTGGTTGCGCTTAATCCGCATGTTGACAAGGTGCCTGCCTGTTTATTACCCACTCTGTTGCCCATACTGACTCCAGGAGACAGTTGGTCGTTGCTGGAGGGGGCGGGGTGCATAGTCCTTGTGGTCGTGCTAGGCTGGAAGAGTGGTTCCATGAACTCACTGTGGAGCGGACTACGATCTAGCCACAGCCCTGTGTGTGCGCTTGATTCCCCAAACACAGCGTGCTTGTGTTTGCCTGTGAAGGAGTGTGGGCCGGCTCCGTTGATGAAACGTGGCTCCCATCCACCTGCCTCCCGGTCTTATTCCTTTTGGTTTACACTGGATATGGGGTGTGTGGATGGAGCTGTGGGTGGTGCAGCGCAAGCCATCCATGGTCCCTCTGTAGGCGCAGGCGTCCTGTGGCTGGCCTCAGTGACAGGCAAATCCGAAACCGGATGCCACCAACCATATATACACAGCGGCTTGGGGACCTATCATCACGTCCCGAACACATGCTGAAGAATTCCGGCCATGTAATTGAGGCTGCCATGCTCGACACACTAGTTGGGTCTCTTGGAAACTGGCTTTTAAAGCGAGAGGGGCCAATAACACTGCTTGGTTGTCCTCGAGGTTCCAGATTTTTTAAACGTCAATGCAACGAGTTTCAAGTCACTATCATTCATCTTCGACCCCTTATTGACAAGATAATTGCAAGTTTTTTTTCTGACGGACCTTTACATGTTTATTTGCTAGATTCAGCATATCTGCGATCTTTCTGTTAACCGTGCTTGGAATACGGAACTTTGGTTTAGATGGTTTACATTCGAAAAATATCGGGGTTTCAGTGAAGACGCTTTGTCGGATCGTGGCTATCATTCGGCAATACCGAGAGTTAATGAGAACAAGGAGACCGTTTGGTGAGGAATTGCTTTCAGTGATTCATCATCAGACCAGTACAATCATATATGGGGCTAAAAAATGGAAAAAGTAAACTCGACCAGTTAGTACAAGAAACATGGACAAAAAATCGAAAAGAATTAATTACATATTACGGAGTTTGACCTCATGTCGCTGACCTCAGTATCCCCCGTTTCCTTGGGCCAGGCAAGCTGTGGAGCCTGGACTAGCTGCTTTTGCGAGCATAAGGACGGTTGAAATAATCAAATGCAAATTGATTCGGTCGTCGCAAGTGTACGAAGGCGTTGACCTTTCGATCGGTGCGGTGGAATCTTGTATACAATTCTAAATGCGCACTTTAGATCCACCTGATGCCCACTGTCGACAATTTGAGCCAGAATGGAACTGCTAATGGCCCCGGTGCCACCTTGTTGCAACCAACATGGGCCATGTTCATTCACTCGTTTGGATAAGTGCCGCACCGTTGACCGCTATACGTTGCGCCATAGGCGCACTCGAACTGATAAACAACCATTGAGGCGGTCAGCATGGGCAACCTATCCTTGTTTCGTGAACGGACGAGTGGTTCAGTCGAAAACGCGCACTTTAACGTAGCTGCTGCGAAGGTCGACTTAATTGCGCCAGAAAAACTTCGCGTTAAACGCTCAGTAACTGCGTCCCCTTTGAAAGGTAGTCGTATGAATAGCTCTTTCTTTGCCGCTGTTAACGATGGCACTTGTTTAGGCTTTTCCCCAAGGTTTCTTAAACTAAATCTGTCGGGGTATACATTTTCGCGCAACACATCCTGTATAAACGCCAGTTCTGCATGTAGGGTGTCTTCCGAGCAGATTCGATGTGCTGTCATGGTAAGACAGTGAATCAAGTTGCGCTTATATCTCAGATGGACAAAGCTGTGGGAATTGGTGTACTGGTCAATCTACGTTGGCTTTCTGTAGACCCGCCCTTGGATTGAGCCGTCTGGTCTCCTAGTTAACAGAACGTCGAGATACGGCAGCTGATCTTCAGTTTCTTTTTCATAAGTAAAATGCAGTGCTGCGTGGGCTCAGTTAAAATGGTTAAGAATTTCATCTAGGTTAACGTGCTCATCCACCTAAACGATTATATTGTCCACGTACCGATAGTAATAGTTAAAAGTGACTATATCCGCTTACAATTTTGTTCTCTCCAACTTGGCAATGAAGATATCCGCCAGCAGTGAACCCCGGGGGAGATCTCATGGCCACGCCGTCCTTCTGACGGTAGTAGTTGCCGTTAAATAGTAACTGTACATTCAAGGTGCAGCGCAACAGTAAGCTTTTTAGCTCACGAGTAAGTATACGCATTTTTATTTCTGACTGGCTTATATAGTCGCACATGTAATCTATTGTCTCAATCAGCTGGACGTTGATAAAAAGCGAGACAACGTCAAAAGAGAGCATCACTTTCCCGTCAATTTCGGTATTTTTGATGCTTTCTACGAATTGGAAGCTGTCACATAGTCTGTAAGTTGCATGCTGCTGTCGCACCGGTTCCAGAATTTCTACAAGCCACTGAGCGACTACATGGTAGGCCGAGTTGACCACTGAAAAGATGGGATGGAGTAGGATGTTAGCTTTGTGAATTTTCGGTAACCCGTAAAGCCTTGTAACCTTTATGCCACTACGTTTAAGGCTGTCATACAGGGCATCTAAAATATACCTCTTTGTCCGAAGTTCTTGCAAGCTCCGGTGGTCCAGTGGTCTTCGCACCTGGTTTGCAACCATAAGGTCACCGGTTCGAATCCGCGTAAGGGTGGGCGT